AAAAATCAAATTGATGTATATTTTTCTGGAATTAGAATTCTAGGACAATATTAATGAACTTTTTGAATAGTCTCCTGAATATGAGTTATATACATATGTTTCTGGATTGAAAAATGTGTATGAAAGTTAATTTAAAATAAAGTGGTAGTACTTAAAAATCAAATTGATGTATATTTTTCTGAAATTAGAATTCTAGGGCAATATTAATGAACTTTTTTAATAATCTCCCGAATATAAGTTTTATATGTGTGTGTGTTTCTATTGTGAAAAGTGTATACGAATGTTAATTTAAAGTAAAGTGGTAGCATGTGAAAATCAAATTGAAGTAGTATATTTCTCTAGACTCGGAACTTTATTAGACAATACTAACTTACGTGAATAGTCTTTTATGTCTACGTAAATTTGCACGAAAATCCATTTGTTTCAATGAAACTTCAAAATCTCTCCAACACGATATATTCACGAAAAATTTCTGCAAAACACTCGAACACTCTCTCGGACGATTGCGTCTTCATCGGGGGCCAAGTGGCGATCGCGGCATTCGCGTTTCGATAGGAAATTTTAATAACCGGAGTGAATAGAATAAATCGCGTCTCGTTGACTTTCCTCCGTATCGATTTCGAGGAAATGTGTTTCACGCGGGGAAACAAGCATCCGTGATTATTCTGCAATGCGCAATAGCACCAGAATCCTACTTTTCTTTCTTTTTTCCGCTCGTCTGTCACTTTTTCTTTTTTTGTTTCATTTTCGCAAATGGCAAAAGGTCATCCGCGATCAGCGCGATAACGTCATTCGAAATGCATTTCCAATCAAAATATAGTTTCGTGTGTTCGGGTCTATTGTGCCAGTGCCATTACCGTGGCACGTGGTTTTCTGCAGTCCGGCCGTGGCTACATTTGCAAATTGCAAACAGGGATAAGCTCGCCAGCCGCCCAATTCGGGCTTCACTCGTGCTCGCCCGACGTTATCAAACCGTAACGAACGATAAAAACGCTTGATTAAATTCGTTTAATCCCCGTGTAATTTACTTAGGGCGGCTCGCGTCACCTCGCCGATTTCGAAAAATCGCGAAGGCCGAGACCGCGATCTGTTTGACAATTGGATATATTCCAATTTCGAGCGAGACTTTAATGTTGAATTGCAAGTGGCTGAATTTGGAAATGCCACGTTTATGTCTCGTTATACTCGGAAGAAACGAAACGAAACTGAAAGAACGCGCGAATATTACGAATATTACGAATATAAGTGTGTTCGAATGCAGTTAAGGAGTTCAACGTCTCGATTTCTCTTGAAAGCGTCCGAGCCTCTCTCGATCGATGGAAATTATCGCGGAAATTATTCATTAACAATAAGGGAAAAAAGAGACGAAGGAAAGGCGGGTGATAGCTTTAACTACTTTTGTTCAAGGATCGGCGTTCAACCTCCTCATTATTGCGATTGCCGCCATACAAACGGACTCGACGCGACGAACAATGAGAACAAACGAGAGTTTCCCTCTGTTAGAGGTTTCTGCGATCTATGGAAGTACGACGAGTGTGTTTTCTAGCGTGTGACCTCGTGCTTTATACGATAGCCTTATGCAAATCTATACTTTTCCTCACGATTTTCCCTCCGTTATTGTCTTGCCCGTTGGAATTACTAAAGCGCCAAGTTTGAGAAAAACGTCGCGGTAATAAATTCTCGAGAGCAACGTGTAACTCTTTCGTATCGTCCTTTCCGGAGGTGGAATAAATCAAATCGTCGTTTTTTCGGTTGTGTTTCGGCCATTAAACAGACAAATGACTAATTTCTTGCGAAACTGCGCTCCTTTCCAAAGAAAATTGATATTGCTAATTAATTACGTAGTATCAATATTGTTAATTAAATTAATGTTAGAATTGGATTCGTGCCAAAAGTTGTACGGAAACAATTTTATTTGGAACGCGCGCGGGAAAAATTATTCAGATTTCCAAAAGCCGACACCGTAACTGAATAAAGATTCTTGGAAAAACTGGTTACCTTTTGACAATACCAAAAAATTAAAAAAGTACCAAACAATTAGCAATATAACATACAATATAATAAACAATTATGTATAAAATATAATAAACAATTTAACAAATACCAAAAAGTTAATATAGATTTTAATATTAAAATAATAAAAGTTTTTAATGTTAAAAAGATAAATAATATGAAATAAAATAAATAAATAAATAATGAAAGTTTTAATATTAAAGTATTCTTTCCAGTACCAATACTTTCCAATATCAAATTATTCTTCCTTCTTTGCAAAAATATTGTTTTTCACTTGTGCATCCTTGCTTGTTTCTTCCTTAAATAAATATTATATAAATGGGAATGATAAAACGAACGAAAACGAGACGAATGCAAGGAGAACGAGAAATAGGTTAGGGATAGGTAACCAAACTGGGAACAATGACGGCAAGCCGGAATCGGGTGCGATAAATTTAAGTTTAAAATGCGCCGGCTGGAGATTAAGAGATTAACGCGAGATCGACGAATTCTGGAGGAATTCGAGGAACGCGAATGACATTACCCGGTGCAATTCGCTTGGATTTAACGATCGGAAAGAGGAAACTCAGGCTCGTTCGTCCAGGAAATAAGGACGCAAATGAGAGCAGAGAAGGCGGATGGTGGAAATACACCATCCGAGTTTCTTTTAACTGGCGATTGAACTTTCCGAGCCTGAGAACGCGTTCGATTCATTCAATGAGCTCGAGAAGCACGACATGTGCAATTTGAAGCTCCAGTTTGATACAGACAGGAATATCAAGTCGTAGAAATCGAATTTCACGTTTTCAACAAAGTTTCGATCGGTTTGTGTCTGCGTGAACAGAATCTATCAATTTGAAATAGAGAAAGATTCTAATAAGATCCAAATATTTTTCATTTCCTCGTTATTTCTCTCACTTGAAAGTGATGGCGAGAGAGTTAATAAGTGGTGAACGAATACTCCAAAAATTTTTCTTATTCAAAGAGCACACGGTGGTTGACACAAAGATATTTAATTTCTATATTTTTCGCTAATTTGTTATTTAGTATATCACCGGAGCATCTTCTTCAAATGGAAACGGGGGAATTGCTATCTCAGCTGTTTGTCGCGCTTTTTTTCTTGCAGCGCAGCGCATTCGATACCGTTTTCGAACAATTTTCAACGTTTTCAGTCGTAGAGATGTATCAAAAGTTATTGGACTGTATTGGCTGTAAGCTCGTAAATATATTTACATAAAAATACGTATATTTATCTATTTATATAAAAATACGTATATTTATATATTTATATAAAAGTATTATTATTATATATTTATATAAAATTATTATTATTATATATTTATATAAAATTATTATTATTATATTTATATATTATATAATTATTATATAATTATATATTATATATTATAAAATTATTATTATATATTTATATAATATATAAATTTGTTAAAAATACATATATTTATATATTTATATAAAAATACTATTATTATATATTTATATAAAAATACGTATGTAAATATATACGTATATTTATATAAAAATACGTATACAAATATATACGTATATTTATATGAAAATACGTATTCAAATATATACGTATATTTATATAAAAATACGTATGTAAATATATACGTATACTTATGTAAAAATATGTGTATAAATATATATGTATATTTATATAAAAATACGTATACAAATATGTACGTATATTTATATAAATATACGTATACAAATATATACATATACTTATATATTTATATAAAAATAAGTATATAAATATAAATATATAATGCATAAATATAAATACGTATATATATAATAAATGTATAATATACGTAATATAAATATATAATGTTGTGTAAATAAATAGCTGTGTTGGTTCGTGCGAAAGGTTTAATGTACATCAGCTGTGCATACGTGTTCGTTGTTTTAGCGAGAAAGCTTAAAACGCACATATTCAGAGAGAGAGAGAGAGAGAGAGAGAAAGAAAGAGAGATGTTGACATCGATCGACACGTAGTCCCTCGTCGATGCTGCAATAATATTTGTTCGCATATCGACTGAGAATAAAACGGTGAACTGCACGAAAGGAGGAAACATAATCGTGGTCGAGCTAATCAATTCCAAGTGTCTTTTGTTTGATGAATCCTCGTCTCTTCTCGTTTCTTGACAAAGAGGAGAAGGAAGAGCGAAATGAAACAGTCCTTTGGCAATTTGTTTGATTTTATGATTAACCGTGGAAAGTGGAGCGAGGGAAATTGCTATTGAAGAGTTGTTAATATTTATTGGATGGATGAAATATCGTATTGTATATTGAAATAACATTGAAGTGCTGCGAGAAAGTATTAACACAGCGTCGTACTTGTTTTATAGCTTTCGCGTACTGATAAATTCAATCTAAATGTATCACGTAGAACGTAGATTAGCGTGTATTTGAATGTGCACACGATTTGCATGATAACTTGGTCCAAAGACCACGGTTTCCCGCTGATTAAATAAAATTGATCGAGATTACGGAGGTCAGAGTGTACGTCGAAACACGCGCAAGATCATACGTGTATACACGATACACTCTTGCATGTCTCTCGAAGATTAATTTGACTTGAAAGCCTCGTGCAGCGAAGAAACTGTGTTCTCAAGAATATTCCCCGCTGCAGCACTTCATCTTTTACCTTCGTCTCAAGAACGCCAACTACAACATACACACACTCTCGACGAAACTTCCCCTGAAGTTTGACACATTCTCCGCGAGTGACATTCTATAGCTCGTCGCCCCGTTTCTATTTTGTAACGCGGACAGAAATGTGCAGAGAGCGCAGATTTCTCTGAAAAATCGAATGGAAATCTACGAAATTCTAGTTGCAAAATGTCGAAGAGCTGCAAAAAANAAAAAAAAAAAAAAAAAAAGAAAAAAACCCGCGCGCTTTTGCCATTTTTAAGTTTCTCGCAAACGAGTGAAATTAGGTAAGAAGTCAGTGGGAGGGAGGTGAGAAGAAGAAAACTCACCCTCGACGGTGGTGAGTTCGGGTGGTTCGGACATGCCGAGGGCCATCCGGTCGTGGACGAGCCAGCAGGACACGAGGAGCACGACGACAAGGTTGACCGCATAGCCGGGCTTCCTGTATGCGATGGACGTGGATGACGGCAGGGACGCCGTCGCGGCGACGGCGTCGGTGGCGTGCATCTTCACGACTGGCCCTGGACACGCGGCCTCTTCTCGCGCACCCTTCTCTTCTCTGTCGTTGCTCGCCCCTATTTCGTCTGTACGCATACGTGGTACGCATACAGTGGAGCACCTGCACGCAGGTCGAGGCCTGCCTGCCGTACCTACTTCCGGTATCACATATCCGCGTGATCGGCCCGCGTGATCGATAGCACGCGCATATCTCCGGCACGTTCCACCTTCCTCCGCGGACAGCCGAAGGGAATAACGAAAGTGGAGGCTTCTAGCTTCGGTTTTTAGTCAGATTTGAGAGAACAATTTGTAAATCCGTTGCAAAAATTACACGGACGACGACTACACTTTTCTATTCACCCTTTAGTCGTCGACCTACTGCTGTCCCGTTCTGCTACCGGCTCGGTGGAGTGAGCGAAGAGGGAGAGGAAGAGGTTCGTGGACACGTTTTACCGCAACCACCACCACCACCATCACCACTGCCACCGCCACCACCACCACCACCACCTCCACTACCACTACCACCACCGGCACTTCCCCTCACTGCTCGAACGACAGGTTCATGGGAACAGTATATGGCACACTGCTTTCTTCAACGTCCTCCTCCTTCGTTTCCTCCCTCATGTATACGCAACGTGTGTTTTACCGGGCGATCAACTTTCTCGATCTCCTAACCTCCGGTGGAGAATCACGGAGAATCAACTGGAGAACGAGCGGAACGCAGGCGAGACGTTTGAATGAAGAACGAAGGGTCACGGAATGCGTGCGACCGTCTTCTCCACGCGGCCAGGTGCGATGTGGGGCCAGCAAACAACGACCGAGTCGAGTCGAGTCGGGTCGACGGGGGTGGCCGCGACGCCAGGGCGTCCGACGTCCTGCGCATTGCACGCGAGAACCAGCACGCTTCTCGCCTCCCTCCCCCTCCTATTCCCCTCCTCATCCTCCTCGACTCGCCGCGACCCCGGCTGCAGCCGCGGAGTCGTCGCAGGGGCGTTACAGCCCCTGAATCATTCCTCGTGAAACGCCGAGCTGAGAGGCCGAGAGAGAGTCGATGTCGTGTTTGTTCCTCTCTGCGGCGCAACGTAAATATGCATGATCCTCAGGCGAGGAACACACGTCGTCGCCGACAGGGGGATGATTGCGTCGTCGCACACGCTGTCAGAAACGCGAGACGCGACCTGCCGAGACTACGTCGAAACGAAACCGTAAATATGGATCGTGAACTCTCGTGAAGTCTCGAACAACGAATCACGACGCGGAGAATTAGGATGGAAATGACGGGCAAATTTGTCCCGTGGTAAATGAGCGTGTTAATGCATTTGCATCGCGAAACACGGAATATCCCGGAAGTAATGTCTGCCGCGACGGCAACTTGGGAAAATTCGTATAAAGAAATTTTGACTGTCGATGTTTCAGGAAATAATTTGACAAACTGAATCTCCGATCGAACCTCATTGAGGTTTTGCAGGATTTTTATTTTATTTTCAAGCAGCGAATATGGCTTCAACTTGTAACCTATTGGGCTCTTTATCCGTGTCGGATGCCACCTGGAAGGGGATGATTGCAAATCGACTTAACCCCGATCTTTATAGAAACGAGATACATCTCGGTGTAATTCATCGTCGAATTCAACGATCGGTTAGCCTCGGTTTTACGTCGCGGATGGTTTCTCGTGTTTTCTGCGCTGGCAACGGCGATTGCGGACCATAACGAGTGACCTGAACCGTATACAATAATTTGTCGCTTTCTTTTTCTTTGGAACTCGTCAGTATATCGCTGGATAAAAATTATTTAAGAATTAATAAACTTGTCGTTTGTTTTGGATTACATTTAAATATACGTAAAACTGAGAAAAATGTTGCAATTTGGGATAAATAGTTCTCAACGTGCGTGACACGTCATTCCAGCGTAAGAGGTTAACCACTTGCACTGGCAACTGATTGCGGACCATAACGAGTGACCAACATCGTATAAAATAATTCGTTAATTCGCTTTCTTTTTCCTTTGAACTCGTCAGTATATCGCTGGATAAAAATTATTTAAGAAGTAATAAAACTTTTCGTTTGTTTTGCCCGGGTTACATTTAAATATACGTAAAACTGAAAAAATGTTGCAATTTGGGACAAATAATTCTCGTGCGCGGCACGTCAATCCAGCGCAAAAGATTAATTGCGAACGAAATGGCTCTCGTCATTAACCAGTTGCGCCGACAACTGATTGCGGACCATAACGAGTGACCAATACCGTATATACAATAATTCGTCGCTTTCCTTTCGAACTCGTCGGTATGACATCGCTGGATAAAAACGATTGAGAATTAATTTATTATTTGCTTCGCCATGTTTTGTTTTATTTAGATGTACTTAAGAACTGAGAAAATATTACAATTTTGGGACAAAAAGTTCTCGACATGCTTGGCACGTCATTCCGGCGCAAGAGGTTAAAGCTACGTTTTATGCTTAAACTTTTGAAAAATCCGCGCGAAGACAAATTCGCACGTGCGAACACCACGCATTCCTGTCACGTATTCTTCGCCAGATCTCCATCTATATTTTAAAGAACACGCTTCCAATACGCGTGTCATTCAAAAACTGACGCTTCCACATTCGTCTCTCCGATCTTCGATGGAGAAACGTTCTCCGCTTTCTCGATTTTAGATTTGAAAAGTTTGGAAAAAAGTTGCTTGAATATTTAAACTTTTTTATTTTATTCTTGTTTTTTAGTCTTTGCTTTTTTTACATTTCCTCTCTCTCTCTCTCTTCCTATCTTTTTTTTATTTTTTTATTAGTCACACTCAATTCGCATCAATCAATCACTATCCCAATACCAAAGGGAAATATTCGAATGTCAAATAGATCAAGCTTGTCGGTTGTAGGCTATCGACGGGGATAAAACGTTTGCAGCAATGCATTTATGTATGTATATACAGTTATCCCGTGAATTTCACGGATTACGACACGCCACGACGTCCTCGCAATTTTTATGGCAATCAAATACCTAAATACGCAAGCTCGTCCGTGTACAATCGAAATAAATTGACACTCTCGAACACAGCAATAATCAACATGTCAGTTAATAAATTTTTCATTTTACTGCTCTTCGATTCAATTCTGCATCTTCGAATTGAAACCGACTGTTGTCAAGTATAGAATCCCCTATTCTTCTAATCTTCATCGAAAGAAATGTCTACTACGTGATACGAGGGTGGGCACTGAAAGACCGAAGGGTTTGAAAAAAGTCATAAATTGTTCATTTTCAATCTTTTTTATTTTCTTTTTCTCGTAGGTTATAGAGCATTCCTTGGAGATCAATCAATTAACCCATTAATTATATTTCCAAGTAAAATGCTGAAAAATTTAAAAAAAAAAACATGTGTTTGTAATAGTTGGTTTTTGTTTTATGTCATTCGATCTTTCAGTGACCATTCTGTGAAAAGTTTACACAGATACAAGTTGTACAGTGCGACAACGATTTTCAAGAAACTCGATCGAACCAGCAAATATGATGAACGATACCGTGCCATTTGTAAAAATTCCCAGACTCTGGATGGGGATGTTACGCTCTTCAGAAGAAAATCCCGAACGTTGTCGAGCTATCAGGAACGCAGAAAGAAGGCGTCTGCCTGTCGCGTTTAACGTATCGGAGGAGAATTCTCGTCCTGATGTTTATAAGGAGCCGCACCCGAGATTACCGGTCTGACGCGGAGACACGTGAACCGATACGGCGATAAGACGGTTCGCGGAGACACGCTTCCCAAAGAGGGTTTTACTGTTTTCCTCGCCGCACGCCGTTAATGGAAGCCAGAGCACGCGTTTGCGCGAGCAAAAAGGATCACGAGATACGCGCGTTACGTAAGTCAGTCGATCGGTAAAAGTGGGTCGTCCCCGTAAGGGAGGCTCGACAACCTCCCGAAACCGATCTCGTCGATACGCCTCGCCATTCTGAGCAACTTTGAATCGAGAGGCGAATCCAAATGCGAGCATGTCTCCGAGAGGAGAACACCGAATCTAGTTTCTCTTTATACAATTTTTGGAAATTTCCTTCCCTTCGTTGGAAACGCGAGACATTTTTCTTTTTTTTTTTTGTTTTGGTTTCTTCGTTTTATTTATGCCCACGACTTTGAAATCTCGGCTTCGAATAATTGCCTCGAATGTCGATGATTCGGGAGAGTCATTTGGTGAATTTTATATTCACGAGCAAGCAACTGTTTCGATGTCGACTAATTTGATTTACATTTAGGCTCTTCGTGGTTCCCAACGTTGAAGGCTGAATTTGATTTTCTAGCGGGCGAGAATGAGTTATTAATCGGTGAATTGTTTTGCATTTCATCTTGATAAGACGAGCTCGAAGTGTACTTTTATTTTATTTCATAATGATTTGAGTGATCGAGGTGTTACAAAAGAGAAAATCATTTCAGTTCTCTATTCTATGTTTTAACACTTTATTCGCTATCATTATTGTGTCACTTAATTTTATTAATTTGTATTTTTCCCTTTCATGAATGTCACGTTCTTTGGAAGCTTGCCTATGCCAAGTTAATTTAGACTTTCTCCACGTCAAAAGTTCACTTTTTCAATAATAATGAGAATTATTATGTGTCACAAGGGTGGGATTTTAGCATGACCAAAAAAAAAAAAAAAAAAGTTGGAAATCAACTGATTAGATTCCCCCAATCATTAATTGTGAACTTTAGAAATTCTTTTCAAAGTCTGTCGAAAGACAGAGAGTATTCCCTCGTTAATTAAAATATCACCTCAACCTCTAGCGTTGAACAGATCTCGAATTATCGAATACCGAGGCAGACAGTGTTAGGCGAATCCACTGGAAGTGAGCGTTGTGTAAACGTGGCTTCAAGTCTGAAAGACCAAATCTGTTGCGAGTCATCTCTCCGAAGGTCGAAGTTCCTTGCACGATGCGATTATTTGTCAAGATGAATTGAAGGTACTCGAGAGGCTCTGTAAAGACGGGAGGTTTCTTTGATGAACAATGGAATGTTTCGTGGGATTCTAACGATCTTTCGTCTTGCTAGCGATCGCTAGCAATCAGTTCTCACGTACACACGTTAGAGGAAGACGGCAGTTTCGATGAGCCTTGTGCCACATTCGCAACAATGAGAAATTACACGAGTAGTGATGTTTTTATTACACGTTCGTTTCGTTGGAATCGAAGTCCTTTATTATCGCGAAACGTTCGAGAACTTCATTTGCTCGGCGAACGAGTCTGTTATCAGATATACAGGGTGTTTCGTAACTTGTGGAACCCACTTCGGAAGCTGATTGTACGCCTAAAAATAATGAGAAAAAGCCATATAAATATATGTCCTATCTGTCTTCGTTTATAATGAGATACAATGAATTTTCTGTTTTAATTATTTTCACAAAAGATGTTCGAAATGACCACGTTGCATTTGAAGACAAGCCTGCACGTGTCTTGTCATTCATCTGGTTACTCTATCGTTCCTGGTGTTTCTCGAATTTGTCAGAAGCCTTGCTCTATTCTATTTCGTAGTACTTCAGCATGTTCAATCGATGTTGCGTGTACAATAGATCTTAAACGTCCCCACAAATGAAAATCTAATGGATTCAAATCCGGAGAACGAGCAGGCCATGCAATGGGACCTCCACGACCAGTTCATTTATTTGCAAAGTGTTGATTGAAAAATTGCCTAAAATGCGGCGGAGCTCCACCATGCATAAACCACATACGAAGTCTAATGTCGACTGGAACTTCCTCTAATATTTCATATAAACGCGTGCTTAAAAAATCAACGTACTTTGTGCCTGTTAATTTCCCATCAAGAAAAAAAGGTCTAATTAAAAATTTATCAATTATTCCTAGCCATACGTTTAAACTAAACTGGTGTTGATGTTTTGAATGCACAATAACGTGTGGGTTTTCTTCATCCCAATTATGATTATTATGAAAATTGAATATACCCATCCCTGGTAAAACTAGCTTACTAGAGTTTGCTCTGTTTATGAAATTCATTATATCTCATAAACGAAGACAGATAAGACATATATTTATATGACTTTTTTTCATTATTTTTAGGCGTACAATCACAGGGTTTCACAAGTTACGAAACACCCTGTATATGACATTAGATTATAGCTCACGAAATTTTGCATCGTACGAGTAAATTCATTATATTTCGTATTATCACGTATAATCCAATGTTCTACCCATTAAAGTAGATAGTGTGCACGCGTGGCGAAGCTTCGAGCTCTCTAAACACTCGACATTCTGCTGCATGACGTAGTCACAAGAGTGGAGAGATGTTTTACATTCTTCGTACTTTTTCACGCGAAACAATTTTGCATCGAATATTTTGATCGAGCAATGTTTTACACTTTTACATGTCAATTTTATGTTTTACACGTTACACCAGACTTTTATCTCGCGTTTCAGAATTAACCTGCGCTGGAATGACGTGCCACGCACGTCGAGAATTATTTGTCCCAAATTGCAACATTTTCTCAGTTTTAAGTTATATTTAAATGTAACCCGGGCAAAACGAAATGAAAAGTTTTATTAATTCTTAAATAATTTTTATCCAGCGATATACTGACGAGTTCAAAAGAAAAAGAAAGCGAATTAACGAATTATTGTATACGATGTTGGTCACTCGTTACGGTCCGCAATCAGTTACCAGCGCAAGTGGTTAAACACACGTTTCATCACCCGCGTTATTTTTTTCTACGTTGAAAAAGAACTTTGTTGGAACGTAACGTTGCAAAACATGAAAGAGAATTTTCTTCAAAGGCCACGATCAGTCTTTTCTTTTTGAACGCGAAGTGACGTGTGAAATTTAGATAACGAGGTTATCAAAGAAGCGTGAGGCCTCTGTTCGTCATTTCGTTTCCATCTTGCGCAATTACACGCTCGAAGCGGTACATTGAACAAGTCGCGATGTACACTCGATCAATCGGCGATTACGCAACTGCGTCTGACAGATTGGGGACCTCGATCGGCGTGACCGGTTGCGAATGAAACTAGAAAGTACTTAGCTTCCACGCACTGGCTAGCAGAAAAAGAAGTCGCCGTTGAAATATTTCACACGAACAATAAAAAGTCCGACATTTTCGACGGGAAAAGGAACCATTCGAACACATCGATTTTCACGACTTTATATTTGAGATCTTTGCTTCATCGAGCAAATGTAGATCGTCGTACAAGATCGTGTGAGTTCTCACGACTTTTATATTTCGAAACGTTTCTCTCGTGCGAGAAACTAGATCACGAAGAATCGCGTAAATTAAAAATCCTCTTCCAGATCACAGGAAATCGTACAAATTCTTATGATTTTATATTTAAGATCTTCTTTTTATAACGATACACGACATGCAAGATGATACAATGTACACGCGTTTGACGAACGTTCCCCAAGAGTTTCCATCGAGGTGTCGCGGCTTCTTTTCGTCCTGTTTCGTGAGGCAGAATGCTTCCAACGCGAAAGCAAGATCTTTTGAACAATTGAATACGATTGTTAGTTCCAGAACGGGGCAACTCTGCAGCCTGGAAATTTCGAGGGAACTCTCAATTCTTCGTCGTGGCTACCAAATTGGACCAATACTGCGCGTACTCCTTCAAAATGGTGCCTCTGCAATCAGAGAAATTAGGAATTTTACGTCAAACATGGTAATTTAAAACGTTTTGACGAGTCGACGTGTTTAACGTGTAAAATATCGCATATTTGAGATATAATTCAGAAGATTGGTTGGCTAATAAAATGCGGAATCAATGCTATTCTCAATATCAGTACTATATTTAAAACAATAGAGGCTACAAAAAGAAACACGATAAGTCACATTTCATGCTTTCTATTTACGGAACAATAAATTTAACACTATTTTTTATTAGTTTTATTTTTATTATATTTATTACTATTTTTAATTATAAAATATTTTGTATATTTTTCTAACGCAAATTCAAACAACAACGAAAGCAAATAATTCTCTCCTTTGCTCAACTAAAATCGTTAAATCGATCGACCAAATCGTGCGAATTTAGTCCAAAGAAATCGTCGAATCAACGAGTATCGAAGGCTTTGCTCGAACAACCCTCAAAAAAGTTGATAAACTTCGAACCTCGCTGAATAAACACGGTTTTTTTCCCCGTGGAGGAAAAACCGGAGGATGCGGAGGATGAGAAACAAATTTAGAACCACCTCTCGCACGAGACGGTTTTCCCTCTGGTTCCCACGAAAAGAGGTTGAGCAAAAGTTAGAAAAGAAAGAAAGAGAACGAAAAAAGCCAGCCTCTGTGCCGTAAAACGATGCAACGTTGCATTTCGAACGATGGACCGACCAACTGGAGTTAAAACGATTCATCCGTTAGCTTGCCAGCCTGGCATGCGAGCCTTCTGACCTGTAATATTCCCTGGAAATTCGATGGTTTATTAGCAAGCCTGGCGTGTACACGCGTATTCGCGAGCAATCGCGCGGCGGAAACGATTATTTCCACTGGCCAGCGGCGTACAATTAGTCTTATTACGTTATCCACTGTCGAAGTGGAGATCCTTCATCCACGTCGTGCAACTTGCTCAGCCACCATTTTTCAACGTGATTAATTACCAACGAAATTCCTCGACGTTCGACGATTCCCGGTTCAAAAAGTGAATAACAGGCCAAATTGCAAATTAAGATCAAGGATGTACATTTGGAGGGGATCGAGAAGTCGGAGAATTGGAAATACGAAATCAGGGTCATCGTCTGTTCTTGTCTAGAGTCACTAAGAAGTTCTTCGTTTCAAATTTAAATTAAAACTTTAAATTTAACTTGAACTAAAATAAAAATTTCGCTTTAAACTTTGAATTTAATTTAACTTAACCTCTTGCGAGAATTTTTTGTTCCAAAATTGTAATATTTTCTCAGTTTTAAGTATATTATAAGTATATTTACAAGTATATTATAAGTATATTTATAAGTATATTATAAATATAATTATAAGTATATTTATAAGTATAATTATAAGTATATTATAAATATAATTATAAGTATATTTATATAATTATAAGTACATTTACAAGTATATTATAAGTATACTTATAAGTATATTTAAGTAAAATAAAATAGGCAAAACAATAATAAATCTGTCACTTTTCAATAATTTCTATCCAGTGATATCATACTGACGAGTTCGAAAAGAAAGCGACGAATTATAGTGTATACGGTATTGGTCACTCGTTATGGTCCGCAATCAGTTGCCAGCGCAAGTTAAACTTTGTTCCGCGAAAGGAAATGATATATTTACGTTAACGAAAAATTTGGCGAATGTAAGTTTTCAATTTGAACATGGAAAATTTAGAAAATTGAAGTTTCATGGAACAAAATGATCGTGAGCAAATGAAAAATGTTTAAGACGTTCGTTTGTCTGAGAGAAACGAACAACTTGGGGTGAAATTGCAATTTAACGAGAACAATTTTCCGGATGGATTAATAAGAAACAAATTAATTCTAATTCTTCTCCAGCAACCTCACGGATGAAATCTTTTTCTTTTTTTTTTTTTTTTGCACGTTGAGAAAATGATTTTGCACCGGTTGGAGGCTGAAGAAAAATGAGAGTTCTTCCTCTCTCTCTATATTCAGACCGCAAGGAAACTGCGGGTAGATTGTTCAAGTCCCAACGGGTGAAAGGTCGTTGCTGAAATTAATTAATTAGACCGGTCTGGTAGTTCAACGCGTCCTTCCGACCTGCTCCCTTAGTGGAGGAACGAATGGGAACATTGCTCGTAAATTATTGTCACAGTATTAATCATTTACGAAGCGAAGGAGGTTCCGTTTGAAAATTAAGAATCCCGCGGTGTCTGCCGCATTAAATATTCAGATAGAATCAGCTCGATCCGAGCAGTCGACCGTTGTATCCATCAATATCTATCGATCGCTAAGGGAAACATTGAAAAATAAACTATTTCCAAAAAAACAGATAAACTTTAGAAAAAGGAATATTCTTTTATATATTTTTAATTAACGTCGCGATGATATTTTTTTCAATTCAACGACAAAGTAAATGACTGTCGGAGATACTTCAGGCGTGAACTCGATTTTTAAATTTTGAAAAAGTTAAAAAGATTTGAAGATTGTTAAACAGTTATTGTCGTTGAAGCTAATAGTGTCCCTGTAGAGGACGAAAATACACACGCAAGTTTAATTAATAGCCGTAGAATCCTTTGATTAAACGGAACATCTATCAATGAAGACGACATTTTGCGGACAATTACATTTAATTTGTGGGCAGCAAAGACAAACTCTTTTATAATCATCGTTCACGTACGTCGCACGGTATTATTAACCTTAGGAGGGTGCAGCCACTCCAACTTTAGCTTCTCTGTCATTACTCTTCCAATTTTGTAATTCGATCGTTTTTTTTCAACATTGATAAAATGTCTGCCAACGTTATTTTTGCCTTTCATCCTCAAGCGGTACTTTCTAAACCTCAAGCATGACTAATCTTTCTATCGTATTTGATAACTTTTTACTTGCAGAGATTCAAAACAGATCCAGACGATTTTAAATAGAAATTTTCAATGTGAATTTTCTTTTGTTTCTAACAGTCTAAATTTAGTCTAAATTATAGACTTAAATTATAATAATAAATTAGCAAAGTATTCATGTTTACCAACGTAAATTCGCTAATTTATTATTTAGTCAAATAACAAATTAGCAGAATATTAATATTACCAACGAATGATTATTACTTCTAATTATAATTATTATTATTTTATAATAATATAATTAATATAATTGATATTACATAATATAATTAATATATATAATAATATTATAATATTTAATAATTATATATAATTATTATAATATAATAATTATATATAATTAATATATATATATATATATAGATGATATAATTATTATTATTGTAAATTTGCTAATTTATTATTTAGTCAAATAACAAAGTAGCAGAATATTAATGTTACCAACGAATGGTTATTACTTCTAATTATAATTATTATTATTTTATAATAATATAATTAATATAATTGATATTACATAATATAATATAATTAATATATATATAATATATAATAAATAATATAATAATATAATAAAATAATAATTAATAATATAATATGTATGATTATATTATAATAATTATATACTATTAATATATATATATATTAATAATATTTAATAATCATATATAATTTGTATAATTATTATTATTTTCTCGATGAAAGAAAACTGATTTTCAAAGGAACGCGAAGCGAGAAACGTTAAGAAACAAAGTTAATAAATGACCGTGTTATTTTCTAACTACATTTTGTAATCTGTTCCCGTTTCAAACGTCTCGTTTGCGACAAGAATGGCGCAACCTTAGAGGTAGATTGCATTCTTCTGGAGAAGAATTTACAAATATGTACTTCCCCTCACCGATTTGCAATCAATTGCCATATATATTATACTCGGTTGTTTATAATGAACGTGTCTAGATCAAACGCGACAGTGATTTGAAATTTATGTCGATTCTCTCGCTAATCTGCGACGCATACGACGTTTGAACGAAGAATTATTGAACACCTGTCCATATATCCGGTTGACGTGCAAATTATTAAATTCATCTAGTGAAATTAGATTAAAATTGGAACAATAATAATCTGTTGATTCCTCGATTTCCCAATCAATTTCACAATCAATGAAAATATAAATTTCACACTTGTTACTGAGTAATACATTTTTCGACGTGGTAATAACGATAAATTCTTCAAATCAGTTCATTCATTTTCCTAGTTGACGTAAAGTGGCAAGACTAGGCACAGTTTAATCCAGAATGCGCAACTTGTAAATTCATTCGCATTATTCTACCCTTTCAATCGTGCAATCGTGATTAATTGCGAACCATGGGATCATGGAATTTACATTCCACACTCGCGAACGTGAAAGTGACTTTTCCTCAAGGGAAGCTGAAAAGGAGACCAAAGTAGCCATCACGCGTAAAAATTTCGTCCCTGAATAAACAAAAGACTGTAAAACTTAAATAACTTTGGGAATAATTTCCACCGTAGGAACGTTTCTAAAATCTCTGCGTCTTATAAAAAGAAGATCCTACGATCTTGCAAAAAAAAAAAAAAAAAAAATTCTGAAAAGGGAAATCTTGTAATAAAAAAAGTCTTGTGATCTCATAAAACAAAAAAAAGGTTCCAAGAAACGGGAAACATTAAATATCGCCACTGCGACACTTCCCTCGACTCGAAAGTCGACCACTGACACAACTCTCCGCGATTGTCTCTGGAAACTAGTACCAAAAGCGTTCGACTTGGAAGGCAAACCGCGTTACTGCGGTCTATCATACCGGAAAGAAGAAAATTGGCACTCACGTGAAGTACACGCGTCCACGCGCGTTCGCTGGCGCATTCCAGATAAGGGTGGCGTGCTGTTTCACATAAGGATCGGCGTGTGTCACGGCGCTGCACTCTGCGTGGGTGTTGGTGTTATCGGTCTGCGCCCAGGAACCGATCCAGCTGTCTGTATCGAGGTCACGTGCCTGCAGGAAGAATCCCTTGAACGAGGAGCCGCCGATGGTCACTGGAACACGTTCGGTTCACTGGAAAACTCAATCTTCAGAGATGGCTTGATAACATTGTCTACGAGCGTGGTTCTCGGGAAACAAGGGGGGAAAATAAATGTAGAAAGAACGATCGACATGTGTGTATATAGTAAGGGGATGCGGCTTCTTACAGATAAACTAATCTGCAATTTTTCTTGTGGCTGAGTTCCTTCCGCGAGACATTTTTCTTCCAACTGCGCGACCACCAGTGATTTGGTGGTCGAATTTGAGGAAAATAAATAAACTGAAGTATGATAGATTTTATTTAAGGTTTTGTCCGTTTCAAAGTGATTCCGAATTTTTTCAGAATTTTTGCGCAGAACCGAAACTGTTAAGAAAAATATTTGAGACGGATAAAATGAACGTTGGTAAAAAAAAAAAAAAAAATAATTGAAGGATATTTATAAACGTAAACAATTATTCAGAGATTGCTCTAAATTTGTTTAAACGTTCTATAGTAAAGGAAAGAAGAATAAAAAGGGTATGATATAAAGTAACTTGGGGAAAATCACTGAGAGAATGAAACGTGAATAAAATTTCCGTGTGTGCGAGGAGGAAATTTCCTCAGTACGAGATTCATTTTCTCCGTGAACGTAAACAGGACGTAGATCTTGGGGGTTCGTTTCCTCCCTCGCAACTTCCCTAGTGTCGAATATTTCCAAGGCATTGGGAAAGGACTGGTCTCGGGTCCAGTTGTCCCAAGTTTTGTTTGCGATAAGACAGACAGTCGATGCCCTTTCAACTATATTCTTAGGCGAATGTCGTCTCCTGTTCTCTATTCCTTTCTCTTCCCCTTCGATACGCCTTCAATATTTAAAACGCAACGATAACTTCAAATATTTTATTATTTATTATTATTATTATATTATATTAACTATTAATATTATTATTTTTATTAATATTTATTATTTTGGCAATTAAGAAATATCTCAACGAGTTCGAAATTTATTTTCTTTGAATTAAATAGATACGTAGTGTTTAAACTGCTTTGATGGAGGAATATTAATTTAATTTTAAAATAAACTAGTGTTCTTCCTCCTCATCAGCCTTCCGAGTTCCTTGGATGGAACTTCGATAGAAAATTCTTGATTAAAAGCAATACGTTTGCACAGAGATTTTCTCAAAGTGCAATAAATGTATGTATGCGTTGAATAAAAAGTTTCGATATTGACTGGCGAAATTGAAGCATGTAGTACTGTAGCCTTTGTGCCACACCCTTTCCATTTTTCTACACGGTAATTTTTTGCTCTGACCACACATACACACACACACACACACACACACAGAGCTTTTTTTTTTCTTCTCACGCTTTTAGCCGAGATGCACGATATTAGAGGCTGCGTGCAAAGGCGACATTGTACAAAGGATGCAATTAAGACCAAAAAAGAAAAAGACAATATCTTTCTGTTTTTCGCGCGCTGGCCGTTCGAAACGGTGAAAATTTTCGCAACGTTGATTTCAACTTATAATCTGCAGCATGTGGCGAGAGTAGATACGAAGTAAATTCAATAGGGTGCCATTTGATTTGGAAAGAGACGTCAACATTTCGAGCTAACCAGAAGTTACTTGACAAATTATCGAGTCGCGAATTTCCCAAAAATTCTCCTCCCTAATCGTTCGATCGCAGACGCGAGCTAAAATAAACGCAAAAAGGATCGTACGATTGTGAAAGAAATTGAGCCTTAGTGCCAGGTTTAGCGAACATAAGGACACGAGTAGGCGAGTTGCTCGCATTCTGGAATGCGTGCTTTAGATTCAACTAGGCAGAGCCAGGTCAGGCTGGCGCGTATTTCTTTTTTCGAGCGAGCGTGTCAAGTCGAATGAGAAACCTTGCAAGCCAAGCTCCTTATTTATCGAGCTGCGTGGTGTGCAAAATATACTAGCTTCCGGTTTCTATGTACGTGCACGAAATTACTTCGCGAATTAATCAGCCGGCTAACGAGAGTGTCGACCATCTACGCGTTTATTTTCAGAAATTTCGCTGTTGCTCTCCATTTCGTGGAACTGGACGATGTTACAACGAGCGTTTCCATTTTCTGAAATGTAATACGCCACGTGCTTTCACACTGATAAACGTTATCAGTCAGTTAAATTGAAACGTGATTGATCTGATAAGATCGGGGAATTTTGAAAATTTTGATGGGGAAATCAACGGGGAAACGATGGAAGTGATTCTTTACATATTTCAATGAAAATTAAACGCACGACGAGCACGTGTCTTTGCTTCTGTCGCCTTAAATTGTCCTATTCAGAAAAGAACAAATATTATACAATATTACAGTATTAAACACACAAAAAATTTGCCAACAATAAAAATACACAGTAACAGTAATAAATTTTACATTTTGTAGCAAGAAAAGAAAAAAAAAATGGTGAAACTGTGATTTGAGCAGTTTCACTCGTGTTTCTACTTGTAAAATTTCGATCGAGAATCACCGCGCTCGAAAAAGACCGGTTCGTGACTCAGAAAACTGACATTCAACCAATTGTGAATTATAAACGTTGGCGCAAGCGTTTTACGCAAGCGTTGAACTCGCGTACCGAGTTTTCGTCTAATGTCAAGCTGGATGAATAACAGGAATTTTAGGCACGTAATTTCACCGGTGGCCAGCCAAGTCTGCACCGGGGCGAATTTCTTTCTGCAGACGATTCGCGCTATTATTCTCGACGATTGAACATGCAGAACTGGCCGACCGAGCCGCAGAATACGCGATTGTTAGCGTTTAGACGCGTTTTCGAGTCGCCACGTTGATTGGATCGATTGTTCCCTACACCGGCTTCGTTCCGTTATTCTTTCCCTGTTCGATCGGTTCTCACCCTATATCGCTAATATTCGAGACATCCAGCTATCTTTTTCAAAGGAAATGAACTCATCTTTCAGAGGAAATGGCTCTTCTCTTCCTCGCAAAGAAATTTACTTTACCATCCTCTTTTCGAAACAACAATCGTCCATTGCGATTGAATGTTCTTTACAAACGGGGAGGAAATTCTCATTTAAATTAATTCTGTTTTCTAATATAAGATTTATGAGAATATGAGAATTTTCAGCGTGCAAAAATGTTTAAAAAACGAACCAGTAATTTGAGATCCAGGTCCGTATTGCGATGACGAGGCGGTGAATGCGTAAGGGCTGGTGTGTACGGGTTGCGACCTCGCTTGGCCATGATTAGGCTCGTTGGCCCTTGATGGTTTCACGCACGTGTCGACTGGTGCTCCATCAGGAAAGCTGTGCACGAGGAACACCGAAGAAACCACGATCAATGTACCAAACGCCACGTTCCTCATGATCAAGCTCGTCTTCGTCTTTTAACACCCCTCTTGCACTCTTGACCTTTCGTTTTATAAAAGAATCCGGTTAATTTTACGATGGTGATAAATCTTCGATATGTACGGATTGTTTGGAGAATTTCTAAAATTTGTCTATAAATTATTAATTATGACAGAATCTGTTCGAAGATCGATTTTCTCTAATAATACTTTTTTTTTTCTAAGGCCAAAGAAAAATAGTAAATGAAAATTTTGAGGTTTACAAAATACTGTTAAAAATTATTTATGAAGAAAAATCTGTTCGAGGATTTTTTTTTTTTTCTTTTAGAGTAAATTCTGAGATTTGGAAGATAATTCAAATAAAAAGCTACCCTTAATCTTGATACTCTAAACAAAAAGTGATGAAATTAAAAGACACTTACTGTATATTGTATTATCTAATGAGAAAAAGACGTAAAATTGAAAGTAAGTCGTATCGGAGGTAGGAACGACGCGAAAGAAACTGCACCACTCGATCTCCTGCGACCAACTCAAACGTAGCCAGATCCCACCATGGAATTATAAAAGGCTGGCACAATTCACCTCTGCTAATTGTCACTTTCACTTCGATCCCTTCGTCGATTTTACAGCTGACTGCGAATCGCGTTTAATCCTTCCATCCCACTTCATTTTTTGAAGAAACAGCTCGATGCGTTGTAAATTTTCGAAAGTAGATTCATATTACTATCGTTAATTCTATACCCCGACATTCTGTATCTTTTAGAAACATGTATTTTAATACAACTTAAATACATTTGAAATTTTAATTTTTAATAAAATAAGGTCTGAACTTTTTTGATTTCACTTTACAATGTTTGTACAATATTGCAAGTGTAATGCTTTTGATTTTGTAAAAGCATAAATATTTCTTTCCGTTTCGCAATATTATATACGGTAACGTGGTATATATTGCGGGTTTCGAGTTGTATCGATTAAAAGAAATAAAATACGTCGGAGCACGTGCCTGCATCGCATGTCATTTTTGTACCCTATTAAATTGATTCGTGGAAAAAATATATCGCGCAGCTCTTAACGTACTATTTGTACGGACCTATGATGCACTTACCCCGTCGATCAGTGTTACTTTTCAGTATTATTGATTTTCTACGAGCACTTAGCTCGACACGATATAAAGTATAAAAATATTCGCGACTAATTTTGCTAAAATGAAAATCGCATGAACATAGCTTTCAGCGAAATATTTATTCATCAATTACAAAATTCATAAAAATGTACCCAATAAAATACATTGTTTTGTAATTATTAGACAAATAAGTTGCCTATATAAGTCATAAATTACAAAGGAAAATATTACCGTGAATTCATCGTTATTCTAATTTTTATACCAGAACATAAATAATTAAGTCACTGTTGCACAAATATCGAAAATATTATTTATAATAACAGTTATAATAACGATAAAATATTTACACGCGGTTGTATATTAAACATAGTTCTCGTTACTAAAGCTCCATATACAAAAATATAATGAGGTTTCATATTCTGTATACATTTTAAATACTTACACGTTATCATTAAATATTTTTAAAAAGAAAACTAAGAAGTAAAGAAGTATAAATGGAATCTTGCTTTGTGCACATTACTTTAAACGCAAATCAAATGCTTTTCTTACGCAATAAATATAGTGACTGGTATTTTAAATAGTGGTTCGAAAAAAAATCCATATTAGACCATTAAAATATTCAGAAACATTCACTCATCGCATATAAAATATTAGATAAAAAATATTGCCGTTCATTCAATGGTACATCCATTAACTGGTTTACAAATCTCTACATAGAACAGGAATGTTTCAATCTGATTTTGTTAAGGCGGAGGAGTACGCTTCGTTTTCAATCACTTCAATGGCGCAAGGTCGTGGGAACCAACCCCGAGTTCGTAATTGCTTCTCGTTTTCATCATTTTGCTTCTTCTCTCCAAATAACCAATATCTACAAAATTTATCAATTAAACTTTTGTACAAGTAATATACTTTTATGTTAACATACTTTCTCCATCGTGTTACAATCACAATATCTCCAACTTTAAGCTTGACTCGTTGTTCATCGGTGCAAGGTGGATGACACAGTACACCCCAACCGTGTTTCAATGGTAAATACGATCCGTATGCTTCTTCTATAACTCTGTAAGTCTTAGCTCTCTTTCGTTTATCTTTTTTCTGAGCTAATTGTTCCCGCTGAAATATTATAGAAACAATTATGTATTGGATTTTCACATAGTATTTCATAGTATGGATATAAAATAAAAAAGTATATTTATTTAAAAAATGATGTACATAACATTACCGTTAAAGTATACTGGTCACAACTTTCAATCACAGGCCAGTGAATTCCATCACCCACTGGCGTACAATCCCATGTAAGAACTTGCTGTAAGTTAAAACGCCATCCTTTTGAATATGGATAAATAAATTTGTCTCTAGTTCCAAATCTTCGATAATGAGCCTTCTCTGAAATCCATGCTTCTATTTCTGTCCTGTTTTTGATTATAGATAATAGCTATAAAGAAATACAAGTAGTTAATGTCATAAAAACATAAATAACATTAATTTCGCGATAAAATATAACAATCTTACTTGGAAATAAAGCAATGTTCCAACAGCAAGAATAACACCAATTGATAAACCAATACTAAAGATAACTAATATCAGAATAAATATAGAAGGTGGTGGAAATGATAGTGGTTTCAATGATAATACAGTCATCACCCAAGAAATTAATGTAAAAGTGGAAACACAACATCCACCAACTGCACTTGCAAGAAATGCTGTAAAATGACAGTGATTGTAATGTCCTACACAATTATTTATCCATGGACAATGGTGATCCATTTTCATGACACAACGACCACCTAGAAAAAGAAAAGAAATAAATCCAATATACTTAACACTACTTAAATTATGAAATTCATTTATATGAAATCTTACACTTTCTACAATGATGAGATCTTGGTGCTTTATATCCTTCACAAACAAAACAATATTGTAAATATTGAGTATCTGTTGCTTTCTCCTAAAAAAAGAACCATTAAATTCTGTGCTAAAATATTTTACTGCTTTCAAAGATATGTTATAATACCGGCATCCATTTCAATGGAAGAAATCCAGGCCCTTCATAAATAGCATTGATAAAATGGAAAAGAGTAGAACCACTCAGACAAAAGAAAAGAATAAAATTAACTGCTCCAAAGAAACTTTCTTGCGGTGGCCACCATTGTCTACTACAATGTATTGTCATCAATGTAATTATTTTTATAATTCCTAGAACACAAAAGTATTACGAAAAAATGCAATATTAACATAAATAAATGTAAATCGTAACTTAAATACTATATTTATGTGATCGTAACTTAAACAATATATTTATGTATTCAGTAGCATATGTACTACAAAAATTATTATAAGAGAGAATTAAAATTTCGAAAGTACATTCAAATTTCGCGGTACTCCGCTGCGATATGCGTAAAACAAAATGGGAACACTTATCTGTCAAATTTATCCCCACACAACATTTCTGTTTCAATCAATTTTAACATGTAACATACTGACAAAATTATTTGACAGTATGTGGAACAGTATATAGCCATTTTTAATGTATCTCAATGACAAAAATATTCTTTTGTTTGATATTTGATAAAATACCTACCGAGAGCAGTAAGTGGACCCCAATGACAAATTTTCTTTAAAGGATCGACGCACATGCCGTCACCATAAAACTATTCTAAAATATCCCTTAAATCCTGGAAACCAGGTATTTAAAACGTCTACGAACAAATAATGCTCGCGATTGTTTATTAAATCTGTAGAAATAGATTTTTCTCGGCGACGCATCCCGTAACAATTCATATATGTCGGCACAGCATATCAGTGGTGGCACCAATGTCGAACATATTTCAAGATTGATAGTTTTTGTAGGGTATAATAACTTTACAGAAATATCAATACTCACTAACAAATTACGTATTATGTTGTTTGATTTTTGAGTAAATAGCACTTTTGTCGTTTAGTAAACGAAAAACATATAGATATCAATATATTAAGAATAATAGTGTATTTTTATGAATTATGAAATGAGTATACATCAGTTTATTATTTTAAAATAAATCCAGTATCAGGATAAAATGGATTGGACCATTCAATATATTATAATGATACTGATTAAGCTTTCTTACTTAAACGTTTTACGATTATTTTGAATAATTTCACAAAGTTGTTAGTGTCATAAAATCATTTAATGAAATTGTAATCAAATTTGTTAGTAAGAAAATTAAAGGTAATGTAATAATTGATATATTTAAATAGTAATTGTAATTCCCATGTATGTGTGTATGCTATTTATGTATATATAGTTATCACAGATCACGTGCTGTAAGTCTTTTTGTTTCATAAATGTATCTAGTAACAGGGTTACCAATGTAATCTGTTAAACTTAATATAGTATTCAGTGTATTTATAACAAAATCAAAATATGTACTTTGTCTATATGTTTATATCATGTAAAACGTTACTTATAGGTTATATACATACAAAACTACATTATAAATAGAGTTATAAAATTTTTTATCTCTAAGCAATCACAATGGTATAGTCTAAATTAGTTTAACAAGTGATTGTCCTGAAGAATAATATTAATTTAATTGAATTTCAATATATAAGTTAGTGATTTGCCATAAAGCTTAATAATTTGAATATTTTTTGAGAGATATAAGGTGTTTAATTTGGTCAATCAAAATGTACAATTATATACATTATGATCAATAAAATATGAAAAAAAAATCTTTAATATCTATATAATCTATATAATTATTAGTTACATATTAAATATAAATATTGCATGTATGACAAAATGTTACATATACATTTAAAATATTGTTAATATTCTTTTCAGCCAAATGATCAAGTAGAGATTTTTAAACCACCTATTCCTAAAGCACGTCGATCCATAAGAGACACTAATGCAATTGAAGAAATTAGTCCCTGTAAAACATCCAATTCATTGTCAATGAAAAGTATGTACAAATCAAGTCCAGAAATTTATAATATTCCTGATATTCAATATACTGATGATGAAGATAATTATGATGATAATGATGATAATGATGATAATGATGATAATGATGAAGATAATAGTCATAAATTTTTAAACAACTCACAAGATAGCATAAAACTAGACACTTTTAGTACTGCACATAATTCTCCTGTTGTAACACAAGTATACAGAAGAAGCTTAAACGAAAGTCAATCTTTCAACAATAGAAATAGTTCTTTCTTATATAAAACGCAAAAACAACCTACAAAAGAAGGATTCTTTTCAAAATATTTCAGATTGCTTTTGTGTGCTGTTTGTATTCTATTTTTATTATTTCTTTATATTATTTTAAACACTAAAACAGAAACTCATGAAAGTCCGGGAGTACTTGTCAAAGAAAAACAAATACATCTAACTGAGATAAATAATGTATTAGATAAATCAATACAGTTAATCCAGACACAATTTCATAATCAAAAATCTAACATTTGGAATGATATATCAGCTGGAATATATGATGTAGTTTTGTTCCCTACAAAACCTTCAATTATTATTTTGTTTGGAAATGAAACTGAAACTTTGAATTGTTTAGCTAAATTACTTGGACAATTAAGTGGCAAAATTTTAGGTAGTAATGATTATTTAATATTAACACCAAAAGACTTTCCAAATGATATTGGACAAGTTATTTATAGATTGAAAAAACCAATCACACAAAAAAAAGTAATAGTAAGTATTTACATGATAATTTGTTCTTGTTTCTTAAATAGAATTTATATTTGAAAACAATGATATTCTATCAGGAGGAAATCTTTTTTTTTTTTTTTAGATAATACAAGATTTATTAAATGTAAATACTGAAGCATTGAAAGCTTTCCACAATTTTTGTGACAGAGAAAAACCTTTAGTTGAGAATGCTGTGTACATAATAACAGTAGTTGTTGATGGATACAAACCATCCCAAAGAGAATTAGAATTTATTGAAAAGCAAATATTTAAAAGACTATCAAATTATATGGACAAAGATATTCTAGATCCTCTAATAACTAGGCTTACAGATGGAACTATTGTACCTATTTTACCAGAATCAAGTACAAATTTCAATTATGCAGATTGTTCTTTTTTTTATAAATAACAAAGTATAAACATTTAATAAATGTAAAAAATGTAATTAACTGACAGAATAATAATTGTCATGATAAAGCGGTATAACAACATTGACAAAATGTGATACATATAATTTTGCTACTGTAGAATATATTATAGATAGTATTTATATTTATATATTAAACAAAGTGAGTAAATAAAAAGTTTTGTGTATTAATATTCAACTTTATTTTATTACGTCAAATGATAGTACAGAAAATCAACATTTTCAGATAAAGATTTCCAATGGATTTGGCAGTTTCTACAAATTTTCAAAAAATATAACAACAAGATCGATGCCTCTGGCATGATTTCAGCTCTTGAATGACATGTTTATACAACTTTAAAGTAAAATACAATGGATAGATTTACTTCATACATGTCATATTGTGATTGTATCTTAATAGTGTAACATGTCAGTCCTCGTCCACGTATGGTTATGTCTTCAATTGCCAATTTACAATGCGTTTCTTCTATATTGTATCACAAATGGAATCCAATAGATCTTCGTTCTTTTTTCTCACTTATAGCGGAAAGAACATGAAATATATTTTAGCAAACTTATACAAAAATTTTTAAATGATTTGTCCCCACGGACTTTAGTTTTCCTATCGAATATATCGTTGAAATAAGTTACAAAATTATAATAATTATTTCGTATCAAAATTTTATAGCTTACGTAATGATACATTTACATATATGTATACTTGAGGAAGATTAAAGAAATCATATAATGCAAACAAGCGTTTATGCATAATTTCTTTAATGATATTTTAAAATATTTTAACTTTTGTTCATTTAAGAATAACGTGCGTAACATAAGATGGCAAAATTCTTTTTTCAATATGCTTATACCCTATTTGACAAGCATTTTATAAATTGGCAACAAATGCTCGCAAGTACACATTTTGCTAAAATATCATGTTAGCAAAATGATGGCTTACAAGTTGCTTATAATACAGTCCTCCTCTGTCGTAATAAGTCCGTAACTAAAAGTAGGTAATATATATATTTATATATATTTATATATCTTGCATAATATAGCATGGTACCGTCAAACCTAAATAATAAATACATTTTATACAGTCACAGACTTTTTATACAGAATATCCAGAATTTAATACAATTATATATAAGGCCGAACTTTACGATATGTACGAAAAATTTATTCCTTCATTAACAAAATATAAATATACTTTTAAAATATTTATTGGAATAGTTACTTCAATCAATAGTCAATATTACTTACTTTAAAAAGTTACGTTTAAAAGAATGGGAAATTTAAATGTTAAAAAGTTTAAACAATTATATACAATCGCATTTTCAAAACTTTCTTTTTGGAAGAAATATATTAAAATTCCCGTAATTTATAATAAGGAAAATATTCTGACAATGCATCTATACCAAGATTGAGTAAAATATTTAATATGTAAAAATATCTTATATGCACTTTCGAGGAAATTACATTTATTTAACACAAATATTACTTCCTTTCTTAAGAATATTCTGTATAAAATAGCCTCAAAATTACAAGATACGTATTTACAGTAAAAAAGTTTAATTGGTCATGTTCCTACCTAATGTAGTAAGGATGTGAGTAACGCGTTGCATAATGTTGTCTGTATTGGCTACGTAGTCGCGTACTTCAGTCATTAATGTCTTGCCAGTTGTGCAAGTTTTCCGTAATTCTGAGTCAGTCGTACGTCGTTTGAGGTACAGGTTTACCTCGGTAGTAAATCGTCCTGATCATTGTTTCCATAATTATTTGTTTCTACTTAAGCACTAAGATATTTAATTTGTTAATTCCAATAAACTAAACGTTTCATACTAAATACGATTTATGTTACGAGTTCGAACATACGAATCTATCCGAATTGCTCCAAAACTTACAAATTGAAAGGATTGTCACAATTCGGTATAGATTCGTAATAAACACAATCGTATTTCTGCACTAAACTTAGAACGATGCGTAATGGTGTAGCTAAAATAATAAGAGAACAACTTAAAATAACTGCATATAAACATTTTACTCATCTTTATCGTCGAGCAAAAATCGGATCACTTCAAGATTTTTTTTTTTTCTTTTACTGATATTCTGATCGATACAAACAAATTCAAAGTATAAATATACCACTGTTCTGCGTCTGACTGATTTTTGCTTCATTTTAAAAATGTCCTTTTCAGAAAAAATGATCGTAAACATAACGAAACAAGATTGAATCAGGTGATACAATCACAGGTTCCATTGAAACTAGTCGATTAAAACTCAAAGCCTTCGACTGGTAGTTGAGATGAATCGGACGCTCTAAATTGGAACTGTTGTCCCTGTGCATCAATTGTGGGTACAACTCGAGTATCTTCTTCTTCAGATCCGAAATATCGTTCGATTATATCGAAGGCCTTCTGATAGATGTCTACATTTTGGTGAGATTGCAAAAATTCTATTTTGTTTAGGCCTGAAACATTACAATCGTTTACAGTAAAATCTTCCTGTGATGTTTTAATCAAATAAATTGTATTTTTTAACTTCATGCTTACCGAAACATTCTTCGATTAGTACCGCATAGCGATTAATACCATTATTCGTGGCAGCATCTTGTTCTCCTATACGCAAGATATTTTCCAAACCACTTAATGCAACTTGAACGATCTTGGGATCCATTACTGTTAACAAATTACATAACGGTGGAATGCATCCTTCAACAACAACATAACGTATTTGTTCAGGTGCACCACCGCTTGTAGCATTAGTAATTGCCCATGCCGCTTCTTTTCGAATTTTAAATTCAGCTTTCGCTAAAATATCAATCAGGATCGGGAATATACCGGCATCGATGACAGCCTGTTTGAACAAAATCCACCTGTTTTTTTTTTTCTTTTACTGACACTTTATCGCTAAAATTTAAGTTCTTAAAAAACATATACAAACTTGAATTTGCCGAGGATTTCCTGCCGTAATATTAGAGATTGTCCAACAAGCTTCTTTGCGAATACTTTCTTGCGACGAATTCAACAGATGACACAAACATTGCAATGCAGAACAATTAAGAACAATTTGTGTTTGTACATCGTCGCCAGTAACTATATTACCCACTGCTCGAAGTGCAGCACTGACCACATTCTCTTGTTGATGCCTAGCGCCCAAAATTTCACATTATCATTTCGGTAGAAAATTGTATGTTATGAAATATAATTTACATACGTACATGAGTAACTCTACCAATCGTCTACATACACCTGCATCGATAACTGCTTGAATTTTTTCATTTGGTCCATCACTTAAGTAGGAGAGAGCCCAACAAGTATCTGCAAGAACATCACTATCCGTATGATTAAGAAAATGAGCTAAAACTGGCAAACACGGTGCAACTTTCGAGAATTCTGGTGGTGGAGTTTTGCCTCGACAAAGATTTGATAATGCCCATACCGCATTACGTGTCATTGACAGACGCGTCGCTTTAGAAAGTAATCTATAATGGAGAAAGAAGAAGAGAAGAATGAACTTTATATCCTATGTATTTAAGCAAAAATAAGGGAACGTGAAACCTACTGCAGAAGAGAAGTAAGGATTCCATTGTCTAATACATGATCTCTACATTCAGCACTGTCTCCCGCAATATTGCCCAATGCCCACACTGCTTGTTCTTGAACATCTTCATATTCAGAACTGAGTAATGATATGAAGATTGGTACAGCTCCTGCATCCACTACTACACACGTTTGTTGGGATGTTCCACTTGCTATATTCGTTAAAGCCCAAGCAGCTTCAAACTATAACATTTTCATTCCAAATATTTATTACTTCATATGTAATTATATTGTGTACTTCAAGAACGACCTACAACTCACAAACCTGCAATGTACAATTTTCATTATTCTGCAAAAATTCAACGAATTTAGGTACAATTCCAGTTTTTACAACTTCATCTATCGGTGGGTTTGGTTCTCTGGACAACATTTTTCTAAACTTCTGTGTAGCTGCCAATTGATTTTCAGGCTCAGGACTGTACAATTCTTGCACCATTTCGAGTACAGCAATAGAGGTTTTCTGCAACAAAAACGAAATATGTTTAAATAGTAATTTAATGGCTAAATTTGCTTAATTAAACTTTTTAGAAATTTATTGTTATATTCACAATTTGAACTTACTGATTGTGGTACAGGAAAAACAGATTCATTTACTGTAACATTGTCATCATCAGCAGTAACTATGTTAGGAACATTACGTCTTTTTGATAATTGTTGTTCTCTTTTTTGTTTTCTTAACTGAACACCTTCCTCTTCTCTACGCCGTCTTAGTTCTTGTGAGTCTAAGCCCACATTTTTGTAACGGTATTTGTGTGTAGTTGCGGCTGACATCTAAAAAATATTTAAAAGTGAAGCCTTAATGTTATAGTTAAATCATAATATGTCAATATTACTGAACATATTAGAAATATTTATCGTGAAATATTTAACAAAAATGTAGAAAATTATCCTTTAATTAAGTAATATACAATTTTATTTATAAACTTAATTTCTCTTCACATAATATTCCTCTTCGGAATATAAAGGAAATAAGACAATTTTTTTATAAAAATAAAAAATTAAATCAACGTATTTACAAATTAAATTTCCACATACATATTTTTGAAGATAATTAATTAATAAGATTAATTGCAGATTTTGCACACTTGCAAACATAATTGACTTATTCGTCAATATCAACGATATTTAATTTAAAAAAAAAAAATCGTTACTACAGTATACAGCGCTATAAAATATATACGTAGTACGGTAGATGGAACTGCTACATAAAAATAACAATTATGATATTCTTACGATAATACGATCGGATCGGAATACATTTATTTCGAAACTTAGACAAGACCAATGGAGAACGCGTGAAAATTTGATCCGTATGTAATACGTAGCGAAATCGTCGATGGATTTTAGGAATACCTCGAAGCTGCTTGACAATGGGCTATTGAGGGTTAGGTATTAATTCAGCGACGTTATTCGGGGATGGGGTGTAGTCACGAAGATACTACAATTCCAAAACAGGATGCGATAAAAATCTGCAGGCTCAGACGATACTACGTGTTTATTTACGAGACGTTCTATCCTCTACAATAGATCACGCTAGATTAGACATTTTGGCATCAACGAAGGAGAGAAAGACTGACGTTCGTCTGGATTTCTTGCATGTATGCCGCAATCATAGTATCACTTTCACAAAGGCTTTTACGTACAACGTGGGATAATCAAGAAGTTCTCGTTACTTACGGCTGCGAAAGGAATTCAGGAGCCAACCGTTAAATGTAAGATTTCATAAAGAATATCGAACGAAAGCACCGCCACACTTTTTTTTCACCTCCTCAAACTACGACGACCGATCAGAAAACCTTGATCTGAACTCCAACGCGCAAGGAATCACGGGTCTTGCTTGCGAAACGCTGATAGGTCCGTTCGAACGGTCATATTTATTAACACTTTTCCAATTTCACCGAGGTAATTTCAACACGGCGACGAATGTCCTCGAATGCCATTAAACGTGCGATTTCTCCGATTTCATGTGATATTGTGGCTTTCGAGCAGAAATAAAATTAGGGACGAGCGAAATTAGACGAAATTACGGAATTCGGAACGAAATACGCAGATTTTCCTAGTGGCTGTTTCCAAGTGTGTTCAAAAAACGTGCGTTCACTGTCGATCGCGTTTTTGATTGGTTGAATCTCGGTTCGAGTTTTGTTGGTTTGAGGTTGCACGAATGAGACGACGCGGATGTCTTTTGGAATACATAGCTGTGGCACGACTGCGTAAAAGAACGTTAACGTAACCGTCGCGTTTTTTTTAATAGTTTAAAAAGATGTTGGAAAATGTTGAAGAATATCGTGAAAAACGAAGAAGGTAATAAAGTGTTCTACAGTATTATGGTATTTATAAGTACGATAATACAAAATTTGTATCTCTTGGTATCTCTTAATACTCCAGCAAAAATTTCAAATTATATTTCAAATTTGTACTTTGTCGACATCGAGTTAGTGACAAATATAAAATTTAATCATAAATTCAAATTAATATATAGGGGACTTGATACAGGAACTTAACTTGTTTAAAAGATTGTTGCGTTCAGTTTTATTATTAGTTTTATTACAAATATCGATACAAAATTTTTGTTACAAATATTTAATGATACAAAAATTGATAACCTAAAATTCATTTGTTTTTTTCTCTTTTTGATACATAGAAAGAGAGTATAGGTTACGGACAAATCAGAATACTTTGAGGATCAGTAGATCTATATATACTGTAGATCTTTACATTCCGTTTCGTAAATCCACCTGATTCTATTTTAGGTAAAAAGAAACGAAAGAGAATGGTGACTAATAGTGACTGTGGCGATTATTGTTCACAAGACTCCACCTACCTGTACGCCTATTTCCTCTCTAAACTCCTATGGTATCCTCTCCAAACGAACAGGTACTTTTTTTAGACTGAAATATAAAAGTCGAAGATTAATTTTAAAAATTAATTGTATTGTATTGATTAATTTTGAACAATAATTCTACAAAGCTACTGTTATTACATTATTATCAATGTTACCATATTACCATATTGTCATACCAACTATATTATCAATGTTACCATATTACTATATTACCATATTGTCATACCAAAAAATAATTTACAAAAAAGATGCTACCACTACGTTGAACGATTCCGAAAGAATTTCCCAAATTCTCCATATTGACGGATCTTTGAAATTTGTATCGGTATCGCGAGTCGTTGGAATAAGTCGTTGGCGAACTCTGGGAAAAGTAGTTTAGGTAGAAAGAAGGGGGTGAGAAAAAAGGGTGGCGTCGGTGGTGGAAGGTAAAGCTCGAAGGACGAAGCGGAGGGGTTGAGGAGCTATCGGGCGTGAATAATGCGCGGCGCCGTCCGTTCCTTGGTTCGATTCCGGCTCGGCTGGATGGATTGATAAAGATTAAAGGTAAAGGGAGGTGGCAGGGTCCAGGGGTGTTTTCGAGTTAGGCGACAGAAGTCAGCCAGCGAAACGAATCGGCCGCATGTATGGAGGGGGATGATGTCACATAGGGGCTCCCCCCCTGGCTTAAATACATACAGATGCAAGCCGGACTGATGCATCGAGACTCGGGGTACAATGACGTAGGTAACCAAGGATTTTCACTGAATTTTTCTGATCCTGATACACTCTGTGTCTCATAGTTAAGAAAACCACCCCCAAAGTTCCTCGATATTTATACGGAAGGAAGATATACGAGGAAGAAAACAGAATACTTTATACATTCAACAAGCAACGAAACGGAAGTTTGCCATTATTTTGTTAAAAAGGGGAGGAAGAGATTTCTTTTATCTACGTCTTCTCGCAATAATCGTCGTTTTTGATCGAATGATTATTGCATAAAGAATCATTCATTCCGCGAGTAACAATCGACGATTATTCCATTGAAGAAAAGAGGAAAACACGCTGTATGTGGAAGTCACAGTCGACAATGGGATCACTAAAATTTCTATAAAGCGCCCGCATGTATCCACCACAATCGGTACCAGTGACGACGAATTAATTCGATTTAACGTGCAAGGCGGCGTGTGTGACCGAGAACGAAGCCACGGACGAAACTGGTTCCTTAACGTTCGCGTTATGATCGCACGGTGAATGGCGAATGGTGACCAAGGGGGCGGCGGGAGAAGGGGGGGGGGCGTTTTATCTCGCGATGGAACAAAGGAAATCGTTACTAGAAGGTCGGGGGGATTCTCCGCGAGTCGCAATATCGAGGAAGTTCCGCGACGAAACGGCCATTTAAAATGAAATACAATTCTTAACGTCGTGAAGCGGCGAACCAACGGCGACACGATGTACCAGCAACCTTCCAGAAAATGGAATTCGTAAAAGACTTCTATTTCTCTCTCTTTCTCTCTCTCTCTCTCTTCCTTCTTTTCGTTCTCTTTTTTTTCTTTTTCTTTTTTTCTCTCGGAGACTACTCTATTCGGTAGATAGTGCCGCTGAGGCGGGAATCTCCACTGTGAATGTTTCGTACGGGATGTGAGAGAGTGTACGAGGTGTACGAATGTAACGATATCATTTGGATAGTTTGATAAGACTGGTTTGTCTCCGAACTTCATTGATAATGTTCTTCCTGCGGCTTTTATTTGGGAAAGTTGGGAATTACTCGAATCGACGAATCGATGCGTTCGAAGTGAGAAACGTCGTTACTTGAGACAAGATCTCGCGGTACCATCGTTTTAGTTTTTTTTACTCGAGAAAAGTGCAACGTGACAAGTGTTGGATCTTCCAGTCTCTCCTCCCGATTCTCAGTCTCCGCATTATTATCTTCCTCATTCTTATTTTACTAACATAACGTCACGATTCAATAAATAAAATTTCAACAACACGAACAGTATAAAAATTTTCTTTAAGAATGGATTGTGGATCGTTGTTAAAAAAAAAAAAAAAAATCTAATAAGAGATCCACACAGACATCTCATCTGAAATTTCTTATAAATGCGTAAACCTCGACGTTCTATTGATCACAAGATACAGTCAAATACATCTGCGTGTGATGATTGAACCACTTGCGGCTGGCAACTGATTGCGGACCATAACGAGTGACCGAAACCGTATACAACAAATCGTCGCTTTCTGTTTGAACTCGTCGGCATGGTATCACTCGATAGAAATTATTTAGAAAAAGAGTAAATCTATTATTTGTTTTGCCCATTTTCTTTTACTTGAATACACTTGAAACTGAGAGAATGTTGCAACTTTGGGACAAAACATTCTCGACGTGCGTGGCACGTCATTCCAGCGCAAGAGGTTAAACGAAACTATTTTGTTCTACGCCAATGGGGACGGCTCGGCACGGATGACTCACGCGATCTCTCTCGCAGCCTCCTTTGCACGGTCCCGTATGGTAGTCGTGCACAATGGAGAATAGTAAACGCAGTAAAGGTAACTCGGAGAGAAGAGGGCCGGTGGTACAGGACCCTGCTCTTCCCCCTGTGTGCGAATACCCGCGGGTCACGTGCCACGATTTTCACCCCCGTACTACCGACCGATTGCCAGTCCGAGCAAGGCAGATCTGGATCGTTCGTTCGAGGCGATTTCGCACGGCAGGGTACGGAATCTCCTTGAATAAAAACCGTAACGACCGTGTTCGTTCACTTTTAACGCTAGAAACCATCAGCGATTAAAGTACAAAACGTAACGCTGGAGGAAAACAGACCCCTTTGGCCGGCAACCGATTGCGGACCATAACGAGTGACCAATACCGTACACAATAACTCGTCGTTTTCTTTTCGAACACGTCGGTATGATATTATCGACAAGTAATAAATTTATTAGTTTTGCCTATTTTGTTTTACTTAACTATAGTATATATATTTTTAATATACATTTATAAATATATATATATATATTTTTTTTTTAATTTAAATATACTTAAAACTGAGAAAATATTATTACAATTTTGGAACAACGAGAATCGTGTATTTTTTTTTTTCTTGCAAAACAAGCTTGAACAATCAGGCATCAGATTACACGTTAGTTACATCTTAAGATATACATATATACATCCATCTGTTAGAGAAAGAACGCAATTTTGACCAACCCAATATTTGTAAATTTTGTACGAGAAATTGTGAAATTTATCATTTAAAATACAAAACGAAGTTGAAGCATTCTGAGATGAAGAATACGGCAGGGATCGTCTATGATTCAAGTTGGAACCAATTAACCGTATCAATAGATACAGCTACGATCGGTGGCAATTTTAAGATGAGCAAGTGATTCCTCAAAGATTGTGGTTTCGTTTAAAGAAGAGTAACAATAGATTCTCGCGCCGCGCATCGCGTGTTTGTGTGTCATAGCAAGTTCCTTTAATTGACAACGATCTTGCTCGCCCTGCTACACGCGTTTCGCTGTAATTGACACGCGTTTCGAGCTTCTCCCGGAATAACGTTATTATCCTTATCTGTTGTTCTTGCAAGTGTACCATCATCACACCGAAAATAGTCGATCAACCTTTGGATTTAATTTTGCCAATCGCTAATTTTATTTAGTACTTTAAAAAAAAGTTCGCTGTTTTCAATGAGAAATATTTTGCTCGAAAAAAAAAGGGGGACGACTATCCGTCGTGAGAGACAGAAAGTTTGCTTCACGAAGAGAAGCTAGTACACTTTCTGAAGTACCAGGAAAGGTTGGTCGTTGATTGAACCCGTCAATTCACATTAAAGGCGGAGAATGGCCCTAGGAGAATTAGAACCGGCGGACAATCCTCCTGTAGAATCGACTTTATCGTGGATCTAAATTCGGCCAGTTGTTGTGTCGCGTGACTCACAATTCTCCGTGTCTCGTCGAGATATGTGGGCCCTGATAATACGTGGGTACCTGGTCAAAGGTTACACAATTGCTCTTTGCTTATAATCTCTTATATAGAGAACCACCTCTCCGTATGTTCGACCGGTAGAAGATAGAACGCACGTATATGTGTATCGTTCTTTAACAGGCATGCGGGCTCAACGTTGGAAATTCCGCTCGATTTAACCGTAATTGTTTAATTGAAGATCCTCCTCGCCGGAGACGCTCGCAACGGTTAATTGCTGACGTGAACCGCGGCCGCCGCTCTTCCACGCGTTCAAGCCACGAAAGTTCGCGGGATACTACGTATTAACTGCCATTCGTTTCGATCCACGTAACGTATCGTAGATTTGCAACGATAGAAATTGTCGTTTCGTTTGCTGGAACTGGAGGAATTTGAGCGTAACGAGTTAGGAAAGAGTTTACGATACGACAAACCACACGAAAAATTGGCTCGAATCTCGAAAATCATTGAGCAGGTTGAGAACATTTTTATGAAAAATTACGAATCAACGATTTGGAACGAATTTTGGTATCAATCGATCTAATTTATTCGAATAAATTATATTCGAGAGAAATAATTATATTTCATCTTCTTTCAAATATTTATCTTTGATAATAAAAAAAGCCTTTGATAATAAAACAGCCTTCGAAAAGAATTTGAACTTTTGAAGATTCTTTACTCCCTACTTTGATTTATTTTCTACTCTCAGGTTTCGAAATAATAGATAGACGTGAAAATAACGTGGTTAAATCTCGAAATGATTACGGACGTTGTAAAGTTCTAACTTTTTGTGAGAAACAACAGTTCTTCAAGAGTAAAGCTCTGGTCCTAAATAAAACTTAATCTCTATATTTAGGACCAGAAGAGATAATAAAACTCGTGAGCTTCGAGTTTCGAGTTTCGAGTTTTTGGACTTTAGCCGTCAATGTCCCAAACGTTTAGAGTAGTGAATTTCAAATTTTATTCGAGATTGTTCAAAGGGGTTAACAGAATTTCTAATTTTAATTTATTTTAATTTTTAATTTTAATTTATTTTAATTTTTAAATATTTAATTATTTAACTTTTAATTTAAATTTAATTTAATTTTTAAATATTTAATTATTTAATTTTT